AAGGGATGGGGTCTGGCAGGGGGTCTCCTTCCTCCTCCTCCAGCCTTCCCTCTCCTGCCCCCTACTTACCAGCTCTGAGTCCAGCTCCATGCTGCAGCGACTGGGGACTGCCTAAATCATCAAAGCTCTCCGAATCTTTTCTAAATCGATTCAGAGATTCGAATTGATTCGGACCTTTTTATTGGTCCCGATTCAATTCAGATTTGGAGATTTGGCCACCAGATTGGTCTGAATCTCCTCCTAATTGAATCACCACCCAAAGCTTCGCACAGCCCTATTGGAAAAGTGTTATATCTCCTCACTTGCATTTTCCCTTTGAAGGAGGGAAAATGGGGTAAGAGGATGGGCACTAATGACAGTAATGTTGCATGCACTGATGAGGCATTCAGCAAAGGAAGGTTCCTGGTCTCATTTATGGTAAGCAATGTGTAGGAAAATCACTGAATTTGCTAGATTTATACTAGTGCAATTAAAAGCAGAATTAGGTCTTGGTGTTCTGAATGGATATAACTAATACAGCAAGGGAACTCAAGAGGTGCAGGGCAGTAGAGAAAGAAAAGCCGCCTGTTTATTTTGACTGAGACATCTGTAGAGTGACTGACAATAGGGCTAAATGCAGACAGTCAAAAAGCCCAAGGCTGAATTGGTTCAATCTTCACAGATTAGTTTAAACTGCATATATTGGAATGATAAGCAACTGAACAGACATTCACTATTGATCCTGGAAATGCAGCCACATGCTTGCAGTGGTGCAGACCAGAAGCAGTGGGCCTGCTAGAGCACTCCTTACTGTTTGGCTGGAGCAGACAGTTTGAGCTAAGACTAGCCCACCCACCCTGGAGGCGGGGGCTGGCAGAGGAGGTGCAAAGCATCCTGGGATGCTGGCGGACTGTGAGTTGACTTGAATCTGGGGGGTATCTGGGACAAAGTCAATAAACTGATTTAACCTAAATCCATTGGCAGCACGTAGTGGGTGCACATTCACATGGACCCCCTGAGCATGGCAGGGCACCCCCTGTGAAAAGGCACCACCGACACTGCTGGCTGTGCCTGAGGGTAGTACACACTCTTCAAACTGCTGTTTCAGACTTGGTCAGAAGCTAAGGCTCAATGTGTCCCATTCCCCACCCTCCTTTTTCTCACCAAATTAACACTTCAATTGTGGGTGATGAGACTCCTAAGGAGCCTTGGGTAAGCAGAACACTGACCCCAGGTGCTCACTTAGTGAGGGCACAAGAAGGGCATTGCTGTTGCTGCCATCCCAGATTCCACAACTGCCACAGCTGGCCCAATCCCTGCCTCCACCACTGCTCAGGTCACAGACCCTGGCTGTTACACATCTGGGGTTGAGCCTGTGGCTGTGAAATTGCAGAGGACGTGGGAACCTGCCCAGCCCTCACCTGTAGCTTACTCTACTGTTGAGTGTGGCCTCAACAACATTTTGGTTCTGTGATGTAGTCCTGATTTCCTAAGGCCTCAGGGAGCAGCAGTTGTTAGAAGCAGAATGTGGTGCTGCTGGGCAGAAAATGTGAGACTGTTTGGTTTTCAAGATGGGGAAGTCTCTTTGAGAACAGGGGGCATGTGTAGAACAGCAAAGGATTATACAAATGTCCTTAATTAATTATTGTATTTCAACCTGTGCCTTGTCTCCCTCCTTCTCCTTCAGTTACCACCATCACCCTGGTCGAGAGCAGCCGAATATCCACAGGTGCCATGCTCCTCCTTGTCAGCCTGGCTATCTTCGTCCTCATCAGCATTTACTATTATTACCAAGTTGGACGCCGGCCCAAGAAAGTTTAATTCCCAGGGCTTCCTGGGCTGGGAGTGGCAGGGGTCTGTGTCGGTAATTCTGCATAATTTTCTGGTAGTCCCTTTTGTTCGAAAGCAACTTCCTTCTCTTTCCACTTACCGGCATGAATCGGTCTGTAAACCCAGTGCTGGTGCCATTACTAGACAAGGTGAAGGGAAGGATCTGAGACACGCAGGCCCCTCAATTCCTGTCTGGAGAAGGCAAGTGAATAGGTTGAGGGAGGCTAACAAGGTGTAAAGGCTAGGCTGGCTCAGGGAAAGGGGCTGGTTTTACTGAAGAAACTGGCCATTAGGAATCACCGCTCCAAATCCTTTGAACAAAGCACAAAATAGAAATAGCACATTGAAACCAAATCCCAAAGGAGAGAAGGACCCGAGGAAGCCAGCAAAGGACTCATCTCATCCCTGTCAATCCTGGGCCCCTTAACTGGGGCCATCACTCATATTCCCCTTTTGAGTGAGCATATTTCAGGTAATCTAGAACCAACCCAGGCCAGTGTCTTGGGGTGGCACTAATTGGATAGCTCTTTCTGTGGCTGGGTAATTTTTCTTTTTTCCCTAAGGAAATACTACATGGTATATTTAACCTGGCAACAGGTGTTATGGAAATGCAAGCAGGAGACACCTGATTAGACACAGAGAAACAAGAGGAAGACTCAGTCATATTCCCTCTTTTATCACAGACCATCTGCAGTTCTATTAAAACTCAGAGCCATGCTACCTCCAAACCTAAAGCCAAAGGGATCTCTACAGAAGAATATGGAGCAAAAGGGTATTGCTGTTGTGGTAAAAGAAAAATAATACTTGAGTGTACTGGGCAAGAAATGTGAGATGGAGGCTGAAGAGCTCCAAACAGGCCTTATAGCCTGAAATTTCTCTGAGCTGGTTCTGATGAGAAAATTCTCCCCCCCACTAAAATGTCCAGCTTCTACAGCTCTATTAGCAATAGTGAGCATTGTAGTCTGTCCCATACCATTTTAAACACTGTCTTCTGACCAAGATGCAACAGGTTTGAGCTTGCTGGTGGAGCTGCACCTTTGTTACCAAAAAGGGGGAGGGAGCAGAGGAAAGCCTAGCATAGATACAGCTTAGACTGGATAAATCATTAGAGTACTTGTAGCAGGGAACAGTCTTGGTCTAGCATGCTGAAGGACCAGCTAAGCTAGGTCTCCTGCATCCCTAACACATGGGTATCAAGTTTCTGTTGATATCTTTAAGAGGAAGGACCAAATTCTGAGGCACTCGGCTTCCAGGGTCCTATTCGACTGGGCTAAAGAGTGGCAAAGAAGGGGAGATCTTGCCTTTTCCAGATAGACCAGACATAAAAGGACCTCAGTGCCCATTCCCTCCCTTCTCCTTCCAAGGCCTATCAAGACCTGCCCTGGTTCCACAGCACTGGCTCTTCTACTTTTTCTAGTGACCATCCCAATGAAGAAACTACTCCTCCACACATGCCTATACTTCTCATAGTACCATGCTTCTCCTTCTCTACCAGACTGAATCAAGGAAGATTGTATATATGAAATGGACTTCCTATTTATGCACCAACATGAAGAGCTGTTGCAATAGACTAGTCTACGAATGGAAAAAGAATTGACCAACCTAGGAACTCCTATTTGCTGGGACCTAGAACAGAGTTGTAAACAAGAAAGTTAAGACTGCTGCCACTGCCATGGTTGCTAATGTTGCTAACACTAAGGGAATTTTTTTGTGTGTGCATAAATCAGAAAAAAAATGCCGTGGTACAGTTAACAGGGACATCTAGTGCACAATTGTGGTACAGCTTCCGTACAGCGTAGTATCTCCCAAAGACTATTTCTGTTACTTGCTTTTAGTATTTACAAGCATCTGCATGAACTTGGGACACCATGTACGTTGCACTTCCTGGCCATACAAAGTTTGTGCATCAAGTAGAAATGCTAAAAATATTTGAGTTGGTGATATATGTGATGATTAAAAACCTGTAGAGAATGATAGAATCTGGAGGCAGAGTCTAGTTGGAGGTAGAAGTCTGAAGAATCGCAACCTACTTGCCAAGGCTTCTTTCAAGTGCTGCCCTCCAGCCTGCACAGGGGAAGCTACTGAATAGCTAAAATTCCATGTTGTCCTCAGATGCTCATGCCCAACACTGAACTTGTAACTCAGAAGCATCTGGCTTGTTGGGGTAATTTTATTTTAGCCTAGTGAGCAGGTGATAGGAGAGCAGCTTTCTTACTTTGGGGACAGGGAAAACCAAAGTGCTGCCCACAGAGTTCTGCAGATCAGGCCAGGCTGGATGGCACTGCTCTACTCAAGATGGAGTATTGCATGCATTGACCAATGGTCATTCTTTCACACCTGTCACTAAATTTGGGCAGTTGCAGCCTGCACAACTGCATGTTCATTAAGTGGAACATATTGGCTGTAGCTGTTGACAGGGCCTTTGGAAAAGCAAATGTTGGAGATTCCCCATCTTTGGAGGGAGAGCGGTATAGAAGGTTAGACATGGGGAAAGAAATACTGGCAGTATGAGAAAGGTAGGTAAAGCTGACCACAGCAATAGAGAGAATGTGGTAGAAAATGGGGACTGTGTGGGTGAGCAAGAGGAAATATCTTCTCACTGTCTCTCAGGGCTGATGTAGGATTAATTCAGCTAAAACGGCATCATCTGATTGGGAAGTATCATTTCATTACTCAGAAATCACCATCAGGTAGGCCATGGATGAGCTTCTGTTGCAGTGGTGAAGCATCCTGTATGCTCTGCTGGCCATTGAACAGTCTAAATCTAGTTTTAGTTTCTGAAGGCACTGAGCTCATCAGACACCCCAAGTCCCTCTCTGCTTCCTGCACAGTGCAGGTTTCTCTTTGCTGAATTTTCAACTATGTTCAACTCTGTGGATAGTACGAGCTTTAGATCTATTCTCTTGTGTGCTTGCTGCCCCCTCCAAATGCTCAGTGACCTGGACAGAACGCAGGAGTACAGACTGCAGCTCATCGGGGGGGTGGGGGTGATTTGGTGCTAGTCAGGATGAAGTCCTGCTCCCTAACAAAGGTAAAGGACATGGGATGGTGAATCAGGTGTGTGTCTAAGCCCCATTACATTAAAATGCTTTTATTTTAAGCTTGGTTTCTAAATTCTGACTTGACATGCTGTTATTGTCATATACTCTAGTGCTGTCATCATCACCCTTAGGGAGAGCATGAGCGAGAGGACATACAAACACGCAAGCCTGTGTGATTCTACTAAATGGGAAGGAGTTCATGCAATCCTCTCTGCCTGGCAGTCATGACATATTAGCTGAAAGAGAGCCTCCAACACTATGTCTAAGTGACCCTAGAAGTGGCTGTGAGATGAATTTTTAGCAGCTGATGGATGGCCTCCATGGCTGATTTCCTGTGGCTGTTGCCAGAAAGCTGACAAGCCTTGCTGGTTGCCTCCTTGGCTTTGGCTAAAATGGGGAATTAGGAGATTGTGTAACAGAATTAAATGCTTTGGCAAGAATAAGTCCAGTTCTAGCCACAGCTGGGATGATGTGTGCCCTTTGCTCCACCCACTCTAATGACAAGTTGGGGTTGGCATGGCAATTTTTTGCTGAGAAATTGTGTTTGCTCACATATGCCTGGCACAGGTTGTGCCCGGGGGAACAATAGATAACAACTAAGAGGTACTGTAGACTGGTAGCCAAGCAAAGAGTTTGGAGTTGAAAGCACCTAGACTTTAGTCCCAACTCTACTACTGATGACCTCAGACAAGGCATTTTTCCTTCATGGGCATGTTTTCCCATCTGTAAAATCAGGAGTGTGGGCCCAGTTCACCTCCTTGGGAAAGGATGAGAAGTAAAGGAGGTACATGGAATAACAGACTCTTTGTACAGCCCTGTACATTGCTGAGAGGAGTATTGTTTTCTGAAGGCTTGTGTACTGCAACAGAGATGGGCCTAGATTTATGTGGCTGGTTTCTGCAGCTGCCCCTGCAGTGGGCAGAAACAAAACCTGTCTTTGTACAATCCCAGAATTAGTTACCCTCACCCTCAGTGAAGTCCAGCAGATTTGAGCAGTTGGTATAAAGGAGAAAGGGTATCTATTTCCAGTACCTGTGTCTTAGCCCGTCAGCTTTTTCTGCCTGTTAGGTGTGTTGGCTTCCGTTTATACCTCATCCTAGCTGCTGTAACTGAGTTTATTCCTCCTCTGGTGAGAAAGTGACTGTACGTAAGCTAAAATGAACCACCACCTAAATAAGTGAAAATTAAAAACGTGCCACTTCACTGTCACAATATCTTTATTTCTTTTATTTATTTTTTTAAGAAATGCACACAGAAACTGTGCAGAATGCTTCAGGCTCGTGTTCTGGTTTATATTACAAAAATCCTTCAAATATAAAAAAGCATTACAATAGGGAATACAGGATAAATTAGCTCCACTATCTAATAAAAGGAACATTTACAATTTTTAAAATAGATTTCAATGTTATTACACACGCAGCCCATTTTTCCAGGCACTCACAACAGTAATTTGAGAGTTAAATAACAGACAGGGGATTGTCGACTTACAGAAACAAACTGCCCTCTACAATTACACGAAAGGTGTGTTGGATGCGGTTTGGGTTCTACAATGTGGGGACCAGCACTTGGATGACTCCCCATTAGGTCACCTTATGCAGCACTGTCCAGCGAGCAGTGGTTTTTAACTTGGTGCTCTGGCCCCCAAAAGAATGCTGCAGAAACGTGGGGAAAAATGGACATACAAAAAGGTTTGTTTCTCCTGCCTAGTGTTCCAAAATGAGCAAAACACATTGGTTATTATGCAGCATGAGACCAGAGGTCAGCAGCATCACCTCACTGTGGTAAAAAAAAAACAAAAAACAAAACCACTTTTGTGCTGCCAAGTAACAAAGGATTTTCAATTCTGGGGCCTCCCATTCATTCCAATTCTGCAGAGGACATTTCCCCATATTCCCATTTGGCTCCATATTCCCTGGAATGATTGTAACCTGCACTGGGGGCTTGCATGTCTCCTAGCAGCTATTTCCATTTCTTTATTGGAGTGGGTTGCTTCCTGGCTTCTCAGCTATGTCCAAAATGACACTTTCTGGTCCTTAAAAGGAGGGTGTGAAGATCTCAGCAAGAAGGGGAGAATGAGAGAATAGAGGAGACCAGTAAGCAACAATAGCTCCAAGAAGCCAAAAGTGGACCAAAGGAGAAGAATAAGAAGGGACAATCAGGATGTATGGTTGAAATCAGAAAGAAACATTCTTGCCTCAGAAAAAAAATGGGAGGTCCAAGAAGAGATGAGAGAGCTGAGGGAATAAAATAGATGGAGGAGTGGGAACAGACATGATAAAATAAAGGAAAATGGAAAGGGAGGAAATTTGAAAGTGAAACTTTGGAAAGGAACAAAGAATGAGGAAAACGAGAAGGAGGTAAGCCTGGAAAGACAACATTTTGTGCTGCTCCCGTATTTATTCCTTTGGCTCTCACAGGTTCTCCTCAGCTCGCAGTCTGAGGAAGGAGCATTGCAGGACATCTTGTGAGTTGGAAGCTTATTCTATGCCCTTATGGGAGACCTGGTCTTCTTTGCATTCAATTATGTGGGCCTGTGTTAGCCAGGACCTTCCTTGCCCCCCGCTAAACTGCAAGTTCTGATTTTAACAGATTGTTCTCAATAAAGAGCAAGACATTAAGAGGGGTGAACGGAAAAGGAAAGAGGCCAGGTGCCAGTTTGATATTGGTTACTTTTCCTCATTAACAACTCTTATTTTACTGGGTTTTCTTCCCCAATGCCAATCATGTCCCCAATGGAGAGTAAGGTTGGAGTGTTTTTCTACTGTAATGATTCAGGAAATATGGGAGAAGCAAGGGTGTTTTTTGATTGTATCTTTTACTGGACCAACAGTATAGCTGGGAGAGATATTAACTACACAGTTGCTCCAATAAAAAATATCACTACCCCCCCACCTTGCTTTCCACCAGAGAGCAACAGTCACTTGGTGCAGTGGACAGCTTTCCCTCCCCCCACCATTTTTCTGCCCTGTACCAAGAGAGGCACATTTAGATGGCTTCTCCTACCCTTGTGGTTTATTCCCATTACAAAGATCAGTTTCCTATGCCCCTCAACAGGCCACGGCTGGCTGATGACTCAGGATAGTCTAGCATAGGAGTTTTCTTTACGTGCAGCAGATTTTTGGCACTTTAGGTACAAATTACAGACTTCCAAAGAGAGGCAGGCACTGTCTCTGCCTCGTAGAGCTGTTTTCCTTCATAGTATAGCTGGGCAGAATTTCATGCACCATTAAAAACAGTTCCTGTGGAGAGACCATCTAGGAACCCATTTGAGGGAACTTTAACACAGCATCTAAGACTCCTCAGTGGTGAACAGACCTTATCATATCTTCATCATTTCCTCACTGCTGACTTCATTTGTGAGTGGTGTCTGGCTTTTTTCATGACTGTGCCCTTCTTTCTGGAGTGAATAGATTCATATCCCTTCATTCAGTGAAAGATTTCCATAGTCATCAGCAAAGCTATTTGTGAGGTTGTGATGTTCTTTCCTCATCCATCAGCAACCTATTTCTTGGTGCATTTTAGGTCAGGGTTCTTGGTCTAGCAGTGCTCAGGCCTGATAATCTTTTAATGGGTTTCCTTTGTCCTGATGTAATTGCTCAAGTGTGAGAACAGAACCCGTGCTATAGAATAGACCCACTTCTATCACTCTAAATACTGTCTGGCTTGGAGCTTCATTTCTGTTCTTTGTACCCTAGGATCCAGGTCCTTTGCCAAGAGTGTTTGTTAAATGACTAAATGCACGAGATAATGTAAATGTGAAAGTAATATTTCAAGAAGGTACCCAACCTCTGGCAACCAAAACTGAGGGCACTCCATCAATCTGAAGCCCATGAGTAGAATTAGCCTAGCCAGAGCCAGAAGTAGTTTAGCTGCTAAGTAGCATGGTGCTAAGGGCAGGCTAATCAGTTGTATCAGGAGGCAGAGCTTATTAGTCAACATGGAGCAGTCTGCCATCTTAGCACAAGAGGCAAGGGTTTTTTGGAGGGTGGGGAGGTGCTTTTTCGAGTTTATTCTTTTGTTATTTTACTGGACCAACTGTATAATTGGGAAAGATGTTGAACAAACTTTCAGGAAAGGCCTAAAGAAGGGTATTTTGTTCCTGAAAGCTTGCCCAAAATCTCTGCCAACTATATAGTTTGTCCAATAAAAGATATCACAAAAAAAATCCTGTCCTGTCATTATGGATGGAAGTTAAATTCACTGTATATGCTTTGTTAAAATGCAATGCCAACCATATTTACAAAGTCAGGACAAAAATTGCATTTCAGGGATACCAAACACAGGCAGCAAAGTTCAGGACTCCTGATCACTCTTCTTGGTCCTATGGGAAAAGCTGTGAGGCAATTTTCAGAGCAGAAATGAAGCCACAAGGCTTACAGTGACAAACAGAGTGGGAGACAACTGCAAGTAGTCCACTTTGCTACCAGCACCATGTCTGGGAATTCCTCACATGGCTGGAAGACACTGGGACTCAATGCAGATAAGCACTACAAAATACAAACTATTCTTCAATGTATGAGAAGCAGCAAGGATTCTGAGGAGAAACAATATTCCTGCTCTCCTGAGGGTGGCAGTGTAAGCTTTCCTTGTGCAGACTAATTAGTAATCATTTTTAAAGAGGAGAGGAGATAAAACTGGGAACTGCTCACACTTCTCTCATTAAATGCTGAACAGACAACCAACATGACAGAGAAACAAGGAAAGATATGAACCAAACTTCTGACTACATCTCAGCCCACTCAGATCCACATGGGCTCGTCTGCCTTTCCAACCAAGTACTCTCCTCCCTCATGGTGGGAACTCCAGGGGAAGACATGTCCCAGGCCCAGCAGTCCAAGGCGGCCCGCTTCTTCTGGAGGTGTTAAGAGAAATGGGCTGGCTCTCCTCTAGTAAACACACACTTCCATTTCCTGATTGGTGAATTTCAGTCCAAATTTGAAATCAGCAACTAAGAAACTGCCACAGTTTTCTGGTACTAAAAACCCTTTTTACCTGCTTGTCCGAAACCTTCCTGACCTTTACACCCATGTGATTTTGGCTAACCTGCTCCTGTGTGTGTTGAATCTAGCCACTGTGTTGCACTTGGCTATTCTCTTTCTTTACTACATAAATGATACAGGTATGAACACCAGGCATTTTTCTGCACTGAGGGGGCACCATGTTATTTCCCTTCCCAACCTCCCTGCAGCGTTCTTCAGTCCCTAGTGCAATCAGTTGTGCTTTGCTCCTGAACAACAGCAGTGCAGGCTGCCCTGGGAGAAGGTTGGTCTCTGTAGTGTAATGCACAGCACCTCAAAGTTCCAGCCCCTGAAGTACAATCCTTTTGGTCATTCATATATTACACAACCCTTTTTCCCCCAATATTGTTAAAAAAAATAGAGTTTTTTTTCTTTTTTCCTCCTCCTCCTTTTTTCTTTTCCCCCAAGCCCATGGGATCATCACAGTTGTTCATGGGACACCTCCTACTGGATCCCTCGAAACAGACACATTGCAAAAATCATGGCAAAGAGCTGGGAAGGGGTGAGAAAGATGGGAGAAACAAAACATGACTGTCAGAAGCATCCTGTACAACAATGAAAAAGCCCCCACTTAATCCCAAGTATGGTTCTGCATTGCCTCCCACCTGGTATTTAACACAGATTGAACCAGTAGCACAAAGATGGTCAGAGAAAGCAGTAGGAAAGTTTGGGAGAGGACAGGGAGCCCCTCTCTGGTTTTAGCAGAGAAGGAAAAGCTCTACCTCCTCACACTCTTCATTGCTTTAGATCCTATCCCACACACTGGGCACGTCTACACATTCATTAATGTGCCGTAGTTACTGCGCATTCATTTTAGCACTTGCATAATCAAATACTAAATCAATGCGCAGTAACTGGCACTACTGCACATTAGTGCCGGCAAATGCCTTTTTAGTGATGGTACTGCACACTAGCCTAATACTACTGTACAGCAGTGTATTAGCACTATTTTTGATGTGACACACTACTGTGCAGTAGTATTAGGCTACTGTGCATTTTGTGTCTTGTGTAGCCATGTCCACTATCAGCCAAATAAATCCAGGTAAAGAACCCAACAGAGGTTGGCTATAGCAGCAACCTGAGTTCATTTCCAAATCACTTAAAGGTGTCCTGGCAGGCCCTGCTCCCCCTGTGCCACCCCTCCCATTCCCTGCTTTCATTAGTGCAGTGGAGCTCACATGCCCTTGCTGGTCTGCTTTGCTCAGCAGGAGAGAAAGCCCAGCCTCACTCCATGAGATGCTCCCCTAAAAATCCAAGAGCACCACCCACTCATAATGTTAGTGTGTGAGAAGCTGCGTGCCAGAACCCCTGTAACAGCATGACAAAGTGGTATCACTCCCAAGTAGGTGAGATTTTTCTGATGGAAACTGGGATCTGCTAGAGCCAGTAATAAACTATACAAGGGAAACTGACTGAGATGCTCTCAGGCCCTCATTTCAGACTCTAAATACATGTACCTAAAAGGGCATAGTTTGAATATATTACTCAAGTTGTGATTGTAATTCGCTTCTGGAATCATACTTTTGTATAGAAGCCTCCTCATTGCTCCACTCCTATGGGCTGGGACACACATGTGCTAGGTCTTGTCTTCAAAGAGACCAGAGGCAGTCTGGGGCAAGGACCATGCCTTGCATGTTTTTGTACAGGATCTACATAACATGGGTGCTACACATGCCTGCTTGGGGACTTCTGGATGTTACTATGATACAACAGCAACCACATTGGCATGATTTATCTACGGTTGTCTCAGCCTTTGGAGAGGTGTTAGAGATTTCTTAAAACCTCTGCTTATGCATGAAACAGTCTCACACATCTGTAATTCTGCACCATGCCTAACACCAGAGGGCAGTGCAGGTTTGTAACCCAAGTTTACTTCTTTGCTCTGAGCAAACATGCAGCCTTCACTTACTAGTCAACTTGAACTACAAGTGAATAATTTTCCTGCTACATCTTGATAGGACTGGGTCTCTTTGAAAGGAGAATGTTTAGCTCTGTTGCTAGCTTGTGCCTACAGATATTGCATTTTTTATCACACTAACAGCTACGGTACCTCAATGGCCAGCACTCCAATGGCAAGAGCTCCTGCAAGGTACACGTAGGTCTCAAAGGAGATCAAGATCACAGTGTAACAGCCCTATGAAGGAATAAACCATGGTGAAAAAACAGACAAACAACAGCTTTTGCTTTTCTCTAGACATTTACTTAGAGTCCCTCTTGATTCTTTAGTTCTTCAACCCAAAAGCTAGGTATGTGATACCCAGTCCACTACAAAGCAGGTGACAGTGACACGTTAGTTGATGCCTTGATGGAGGACAGCCTCCTGGGATATTCAGGTTTAGTGCACCACGTATAAAACCAACAGGTAGGGATAACATAGTCATGACCCATCACTAATCAGTCCAAGCCTCACAGCAGGCAGACAGGAAAGGCAGGGGAAATAGATGGAAAAATGGACAAAATTAGGCAGTACAGGTTAGTGGTGCAGCTATTAATTAGGCTGTTTTGGTTGAAGGGTTTATGTATTTATAACCACAGAGCAGGGGTTAGAACAGAAGACTGAGTCATTACTTCTGTGTTGTATTCCAGGCTTAGCCAATAATTCACTTTGCAACCTAGGACAAGTCACTTCCATTCTCTGTTCTTTACTTCTCCATCTGTAAAGTGGATCAAATCAAATATACACCTCCCCGGGGGCTGAAGACTTAATTAATGCTTGCTAGCAGCAGCCTTAGCACCCTTAGATAAATGGGATCACTAAACTGCAAAACAGATATTACCATCATCCTCCTTAAAGTCATTTAGGATTATCAACATTAATTATTAGTCACATTATTAATAACCTGGGAACTCCCTGAAAAGTCCCTGTACAGAGAACAGTGATTTGAACTCTTTTGGGAATCACCAGCTTATCCAAATCTGAGTTGTCCTAGTGCTAAAATTCTTCAGCCTAATGGCAAATTTTTGCAAATGGATTATATGAAAAGAAACAGAGTCTGTTCAGTATGTAAGTACATGTCTCCTACTGAGTATTTCCCAGGGGTGTAGCAGAGGGAGAGAAAGAAAGCAGCTTAGGCACGTATATTGTAATCCCAGTCCTCCCAAATGTGCACAGACACACATCTCCTCCCTTTGCACCCCTAAAACTTGGGTTTTAATCATCTAGTTCTTTTCATTTAGCAAAGGAAAAAATATGTGGCCCTTTACTGAACATGACAACGATTCTGATATTAAACAAGCACCCCAAAATAACAAGAATATTATAATAATAACAACATCTGGGAGTCATCCGGAGTTGACGTGCCCTTTGGCTAAGGAGTAGGGGACAGACAACATCATTTCAATCAACAAATAACTCTCGGTGGTGTTCACTGAAGGGACCAGCATATTATCCCTACTAAAGATGGAAAGGAAAGGTTGCTATTATTCTCTCGCCAAAATATTCTCTATTCTCAAGGCCCTTATGCTATAGCAACCTTGCTTCCACCTGCTGTTTCTTTTCCCAGAATCTTCAGTGGTGCTTCATACATTGTCCACAAAAACAGTTCTGCAATCTTCAGGTTGAACCCCCTACCAAGCAGCAGCACAAGACACTGCCAGGGAACCACTGACCCACTCCCTCCTACTGGTCTTTGGATGGTGTTCTATAAACAGCAGATGTTTATTGGTATAGAGTCAAAGGACACATCCCCACGAGCACACACGTGAAGGGGCATGCTTTTCTCATGGGACAATTAGCATCAACACATATTTATGCAACATTGCTATTTCTCCCTGGGCATGCCCCTGTACACGTGTTCTGGCGCACGACAAAGTGACCAAAGTGAGGCAGAGGAGGCTAGGGCCAGCACCTTTACCTGGCATCCTAGGGGCCTCCCAGGGCAGCAGCAGCACTGAGCTGGCTGCTTGGAGTCTGGCCAGCATCCAGAATGTGGCTCTGGATGACCAGTCTCAGTTTCTGGTGGCACACTGCTGCCGCATGCGCCAATTTGCTATTTTTAGCAGCAGGTTTTTTTGACACCGGGATCTCCCAGTGTCAAAGAAACCCTGCTGTGCTGTAAATTAACAGCACGGCGAATGGGTACACATGCACTGTGTGCAGTTTGCAGTACCTCAAATGGCTTTGACATGCTGCAAACTGCATGTGCGCGCTTGTGGGGATGCACCCAAATGGTGCACCTCAAAAAATTAGAAATAACTTATCAGCAACAGCTGTGCATTTGTAACGATTCTATCAGCAGCACAAGTGCTTGTATAGATGGTGCTTAAGCATTTTTACCATTGTACTGTATATCTTCACTCTGGGTTGTACTAATACTCACACTAGTAAACTGGTGGCAGCTGGGCCATTGGGGAAGTGACTGAGTTACTGATGCTGGCTTTTTGTGCAGACAAACAGACCAGGAGAAAGTCTGCTCTTGCTTGATTTCCAGTTTTGCAGAACCAAGAGATGAAACCTTTGATATTTATTAAACAAAACTCCAATTTCAGTCCTACTGAGAGTCTGTCCTAGCTGCCTCTGACCTGTCTTTGGTGCATGCAGTCACACCAGGCTAAGCATGGAAGCCAGTATCAACTATGGCAGCTCTAGGTAGCTTTGCTCTCCAAGATCTTGACTTTGGTTCAAGACTATCTGAGAGCAATCAACATTCAACAAGCTTTCCACTCTCTTTAAAGAAACACCAGAATGAGCTATTCCTTAATTTTTTTTTCTAGTACTGTTTTTCCAGTCATCCTGCTGCAGTAACACCAAGAGCAATAAAGATCTAGTTTTCCATAGGACTGAGAAAGGAACTCATGCACCTGATATGCCATGGTGATGCCCCTTAAACAGAAAGGCAACAGTGGGAAAAAAGACAATTTTATTGTCATCATTTGCCCTGTTTTTCAGTTTGTTGCCTCTGTCTCATTCTCTCTCTGCCTCCTTTTCCTGTGTGTGCCAATTAGACCTGGCAGAAGCAGTACTGCAGCGTCTGCTATGATCTCTCACCCAAAGCACCCCTGCCAATATTTTCCGGCCCTCAGGCTAGGGAACAGCTTACACACAGTTTCTAAACTCATCATCTTTCTTTCACAATCTGCTGTCAAGTACTGGAAATGGAACTATTGCTGCGCACAAAGGGGAGATGAGAAGTCAGTGTACAGACAGTGTATACAGTATAGCGGTCTTACAAATAGTGGATGAAAATAATAAAGAGCAAACCACAGAACAATGTGTTAATGGAAGTATCTGGGCTTTGGGTAAGTAAAGGGAGAACAATACTGCTAGGGGAAGTGTGTAGATTCACCTAACGAAAAAGGCTAGTTCAGCACATAGTCAAAATAGAAGGTGATAATGTCTCAAATGTCCTTGTTAAAGCTTAATGCTGGTAAAAAAAGTGGTGGACTGAGTCATAGTGACTGAAATGCTCTGCTTATCCCTAGAGCCAAGGAAGTAAGGGCAGAGCAATGTGGACAAAGGCCCTGCTCTTGCATGCTTCCCTAGTATCACTCCGTATGGCTAATTCTTTCCTTGAATGAACCATCACTTTCAGTGAGAAGAGACCCATTCAGTCGCTCCCTTCTCTGTTAAGCAAGCCAACAAGTGACAGTAAGGGGTAATTGTAGATGTGTGGTTTTTTGTACCGTTGATACTGAGTAACTGGGAACACTCTGGCGCCTAGAAAAAAAAGTAATTTCATCCTGGGGCCATTTAGCAGCCACTGGATAGTAATGGAGTTCTATCACTACTGACCAAAGTTGGCATATGTCTAACTTCCTAGTGCCTTGTTGCCACCTGTGCAAAAGGAGCAATTCCTGATTCTTCACTATGCTTAAGAGTAGAAATTTAAGATTTATATTGAAACAAATAACTGTACAAGTAATTCTACTTTGCATTTCATTAATCTTCTCATTCTGTACAATAAAAACTGCAGGAACAATGATAGCAGATGAAAAAAAGTCAGAGAGAGAAGGAACAGGAATAGGGTTCTTGGCTGCTTCAAGGTGAGGAAATGCACCAATAAATGTGTCATTTTTTACCCTAAGAGTATGCATCCATTACATCCCGGGACATGTACTATTGATATCACACCTCTATGCTCCTGTCGTGAGTTTGAAGCCCACAGAATGGAGGAACACAATTAAAATAAGGCACAGACTGTACACTCACAGCATATACTTGGTTTAGACACTTGCTATCTGCATCATGGCCATGATGGCAGAGATAGATGAGAACTGTCACTTCCAATCATGCTCCGCCTCATGTAGCAGAGTCATGGGGAAGCTCCTTTGAGCCACAAGATTAACTCCCTTACCTGTCGGTTCTGGTACATTTCCAATCCTTGGAGGCAGTCTTCCTTCTTAATGAATGGTCCATCCCGGGTCTGGAGTGCTCGCTGGCAACATGCTTCTGGTACGGCATCACCTGAATGTAGGTGCTGGAAATGAGAAGCCATTTGAAAATCTTCTGGCCCATTCACTCCGCAACAGCCAAACTAGGAAGCATTGCATGGAAAAGAGAAACAAATTGGTTACATGCTGAGAGGAGACATCACCAGTATCTTTATTTACATATTTACTTATTCATAGGATTTATAAGCCATCTTTCCCAACAAAAGCTCAAGGTGGCTTTCAGAAGAGAACAAAATAATTTATAAAACAAGTGAGCAAGAGAACAAAGCAGGAGAAACAAAATAACCTAGAAATGCCAATAGAATAGACCGTTAAAATATCCTGTCCAGAGACCCCCTCCCGAACAATATGTCAAATCAGCGTTGACTGCTACACCCTGACCCAAGCAGAAAGATCTTAAACTCTAGAGCATTTCCAGAAGATGTGAAAGCTCAGGCAGGCTTCAAGGGGGAGGAAATTCTAGACCCAAGGAGTGACTACTGAGAATAACCTCCCACATGTTTTTGACAGCAAACTTAGTGCATTGATAATACTTGTAGGAGGCAGTTCTTGGGTGACTTTAGGGACTACGATGGGGCAAAAGGGAAAAGATGGTCCTTTAGGTACATAGGACCCAGGCCACTGAGGCCTTCAAACTCATGATTTTGTGGGAGGAGGGAATCTAGTAGTGGTAGAGAAAGGCAATGCCACTGCCAAGAAACCAACCAAGGAAGTAGGCTGTGTTTGTATATTTTATTTCAAAGTGGATTACAAAAGTATTGTTATCCCCATTTTATAGATAGGGACACTGAGGCACAGAAATATCTAATGGAATCTTTTTAACTGACTTCTATGCATTTTGGATCATAACCCAACTGCCCTGATCAAGATCACACCCTAAATCTACAGAAAATTTAGACCCTTTATTTCTCACCCTCCATATGGTTGATGCCCAGGATGTTCTATTTCCCATGTCAACTCTTATGCACTAGATGGTTCACTGAAGGTCACCTACAAGCACTCAAGTGATGCTCTTATTCAGTCATCAAAAATTTTAAATATTTCATGCATAAAATGAAAACTTCTTTACTCAGTTCCTGAATCGGCAATAGAGGCAAGACTTTTTTTAAACTGTAAAACTGGATTGGCAACTATGGAAAATGATGACCTGTATTTATCCACAGAATATGCATAGCATGCCCTGCACTACAGTAGAGTTTCCAAAGCATACCGCCTTTCCTTCCTGCTCCTGGAGAAGAGCATGAGAAGAAAATTCAGACTTGACAGCACAATCAATCTTTGACCTCCTTCTTTAGGATTATAATAATGAAGTAAATTATGTGAGTGAATATTTTTGCACTAAACTCTTACCCCTCAACCAATCTCACAGAGACCATGAAAAAGCCAGTGGGTAGAAAGAACTTTTGATCACTGATGACCTACCAAGGATTTGAAACAGTATTCTTGGGAGCAATAATGAAGGCTCTCACCATCAAGCTAACTAACTGACTCTGATGATATGTTCTTTTGGGACCACTGGCAACTCAAATAATGCATCACTTTCAGCAAGGTGCGTGCTGCCAGCAGGA